ATAAAAAGAAAGGAGATATTTAATTTTTTAAGAATAAGCTTTCTAATTTAAATTTAATTTCGTAGTAATTTTATTATTATTATTGTTTATAAATTTTATTAATTTAAATTTATCCTAACTAAAATATGTTCTGTAATTTTTTTCCCCTTTAAAGTTTAAATCGCTTCCATTTCGACAATATACGGTTATTTGTTATGGGCGGCAATGAATTTCTTTATTGAAAAATGAAAATAGAGTTTCTGTCCACCGGCTCAGCCGGTCACCATTAATTTAAAATTTTGAATTTTGGAGTGAATCCCATACGCATGACGGGTGAATTTGGGTTAATTTGGAGTGGATTTCATCTCGAGGAGGCCCGCGGGCCGCAGTAGAAGTAGAGGGCAGGGGAGGGGGTTAAATTTCGCGGTCCCCAAATTCAGTTTCGTCATTTCGTTTGCGTTTCATTTCGCTTTCATTCCGAGAAGCAGAGGAAGAAGCTCTGATACCATTTTTTTCTTCTTTGGTTCTCTTCTAGATTTCTTTTCACCCCTGATCTCTGCTTCGATTAAACGATTCTGGCTGTAAGACCTTCTCTTTGTATGAATCGGTTGACTTTCGTGGAGGTTGGAGAGATCAGTAGAAGTTCGATTGTATTGCAGCTTATCCGCCACGATTTGATGGCGATTCAACTCGGTTTGTGCTGATCCATTGGGAATAGGTAAAGATTCGAACACTGTGTGGGCTTCTGGTCAGATTGCTATGTCTTAGTTGTGCGTTTGTTCATCTAGATTTGTTTTGTTTTTTTTTTATTTCATTTATTTGATCTTTTAGTTGATTTCATTTTCTTTGTGTGATTCTAAAGAATGGATGGTGGTTGTTAGTGACGATAATTAAACCTCGCAGTGAGATGGATCATTTGTTTTTGTTTAACCAGTTTTCCTTTGGTTTCCCAAATGGAACTCAATTGACTTGAATCATGGAACAGTAAACCGTTGATTTTTGTTCTCAAATAATTGTGAAAATACTAGTTATAGTAATCCCTGGTTTGAATTTGTTTGAGCGGGCTTTTAAGATTAGGATCATACACGATCTTTTCTGTGACTGCTATCATGGATTCGATGGATTCAGTATTGATATTACGTGGCTGTTAGTTTTTAGGCGTTATGATGATCGTGCTATAGAATTCTGTTGTCAAAACTCATCAACCTTTTCTTCAGGCAAAATCTCTGATGAATCGAAGCATGTGCGGTGCTCTGGAACATATAAACTTATCGCAATCTTCGTCTTCGTTTTCCTCTTGCCAAGATAGCTCTTAACTGAACATATAAAAGCAATGAATCACCTCAACGTTGAGACCGATGGGGCTTTTGCAAGCGTGCTGGAGCTTGCAGCCAACAATGATGTGGACGGTTTCCAACTATCTATTGTTCGAAACCTTTCTTCCATTGATGAGGTTGGGGAGTGGTATGGCCGTAAGAAGGTCATCGAGCAGCGGACTCCGCTCATGGTCGCTGCCACTTATGGTAGCCTTGATGTGCTCAATTTGATTCTTAAACTCTCCTCTGCTGATGTCAACCGGTATTGCAGCCCGGACAAAACCACTGCCCTCCATTGTGCTGCTTCTGGTGGTTCCGTGGACGCTGTTGAGGCTGTAAAAATTCTTCTTTCCGCTGGAGCTAACCCTAATTGTATAGATGCAAATGGTGATCGGCCAGCTGATGTTATTACTGTCCCGCGTAAACTTTCTAATGCGAAGGCTGCACTTGAAGATCTTCTTGGAAGTTCTGATGGTGCTGTTACTGAAATTCATGGCCAAGATCTTCGGGTTTCTACATGCACATCCAACTCGCTTTCTCTGTCATCATCAACAGAGGAAGATGGATCTCCTTCATCCGATTCAACCTCTTCTCCAATGAATGGTAAATTTCAGGATCATCCTTCATTTCCAGAGAAGAAAGAGTACCCTATTGATCCATCCCTTCCTGACATCAAGAACAGCATCTATGCTACAGATGAGTTCCGGATGTTCTCATTCAAGGTCCGGCCTTGCTCGAGGGCTTACTCTCATGATTGGACCGAGTGCCCCTTTGTTCATCCTGGGGAAAATGCAAGGAGACGGGACCCCAGAAAATATCACTACAGTTGTGTTCCTTGCCCCGATTTTCGCAAAGGGGCATGTAGAAGGGGAGATATATGTGAGTATGCGCATGGGGTATTTGAGTGTTGGCTTCACCCAGCTCAGTATCGCACGAGGCTGTGCAAGGATGGGACTAACTGCGCAAGAAGGGTTTGTTTCTTCGCCCACACGAACGAAGAGCTACGTCCTCTGTACATTTCTACGGGCTCAGCTGTGCCTTCGCCTAGATCATCCGTTTCATCTGCAATGGAAATGGCTGCAATGGGCCTGTTGCCAGGCTCTCCATCTTCTGTTTCAGCTATCATGTCCTCCTTTACACCGCCCATGTCGCCTTCTACCAATGCGATTTCTCACAATTCTCTTAATTGGCCGCAGCCTAATGTGCCTGCCCTTCACCTTCCTGGAAGCAACCTGCAATCAAGCAGGCTTAGGTCATCTCTCAGCGCCAGAGACATACCGTTCGATGACTACTTGATGCAGGATTTCGAAACCCAGCAATTGATTAATGATCTCTGTGTTTCTCGTCTTAGCTCTTCAGCTGGAAACAGAATAGCCCGGTCGAAGAACCTCGATGAGCTTTTCTCAGCTGAGGTATCTTTATCTCCTAGATGTAACTCTGAACAGGGAACCATCTTCTCTCCCTCACATAAGGTTGCTATCCTTAATCAGTTTCAGCAGCAGCAGCAAAGCCTCCTTTCACCAATAAAAACTGGGATGTTCTCGCCAAAGACCAATGTGGATCAGCCAATTACTGGACATTCCTCTCTCTTGCAGGCTTCTCTTGGCTTATCTTCTTCGCCTGGAAGGATGTCTCCACGAAGCTTGGATACAGGTTCTCCGACAAGCTCGCGACTTGCAGCATTTGCACTGAGAGAGAAGCAACAGCAGAATACTCTGAGGAGTCTTAGCTCCCGTGAGCTTGGAACTGCAGCATCTGCTGCCATTGTGGGCTCGCCCGTCAGCTCATCCTGGTCCAGGTTGAGTTCATTATCGAAACCAGTTGATTGGGGTGCGAACGGCGAAGACATGGGTCAGCTTCGACGATCATCTTCCTTCGATCTGCGTTCGAGAGGCGAAGAGCCTGATGTTTCGTGGGTTCAGTCATTGGTGAAGGAATCTCCCATGGAGAAACCAGTGGCCCCTGCTGCTGGTACTAATGATGATCACGCTGCTGTACTTGGGGCTTGGTTGGAGCAGATGCAGCTGGATCAGTTAGTTGCTTAGTGGAAATTAGAGATTCTATTATCTTCTCTGCTGTTTGGTAATGCGTTCAATGGCTTGATAAATAAGTTCTTTGGTTGGAAATGGATGGGTTATTGGAAAGATTCATTTTCTTCAAAGATTTGTTTTATTTTACTAGAAGAGTATTTTGGACAGGCTAATGGAGGGAGGCATTGCCTGGGTCAATTGAAGGACTGCCCAGGGCAACAATTACTTTCTCTCCAAGTTTATTTTTTTCTGAATTTAAAGTTATCAGAGTTTCTATTGCTTTTTCACTGGAAACTTCTTCCTCATCTTCAACTCTCAGGTGTTTGCTACCATGTTAGAGAAAGCTGCTTTTGATTCCAGCTGAGAAGAGAAAAATCTGATGGATTATGTTTCTTCAGTTGTCGGTATCATGAGCGTTGTATTTGATTTTCTAATGAGTCTTTTCAGATTAAGGTCTGTACTTTATCTTAAACAAACTTGCTTATTAATTTGAATTCCATTATTCTTTCTATTGCTATCTTCTCATTCAAAATTTTGTATTTTTGTACTATGCGAGGAGAAATTATTACGTGCAGAGTCTTGGATGCCTTTGAACTCTAACGAGATTGCGTCATGTCTCTTTTACGCAGTAGTGTGTATAATTTGTACACTAATGTGTATAAGTACTGATGTGGCATAATTTCATTAGAGTCTGGACACGAGCTATATCCGAACTCCACATAATAATTTTTTTATACTGTGTTCTAATTTACTTTGCTTATTTTATTTTAAGGAAGGTGAAAAACATTATTGATTAATTTGTTTTTTGTTTAAAAATTCTACTCTCATCCTATCATTTCTTATATCAAAATTTTTTTAATTATTTCATGTGGATTTAATATAAAGCTAGCATGCCTTAGTATTATGGTACCTAACAATATTCATTACTGTTAGTAGTAGAATATTTTATTTATTATCTTTAATTATATCTCAATTATTTGAGATTAGTTTTATAAGTTTCATTTACTTTTGTTCTTATTTAGATGATCATTGAGATTATTAATTATTATTATTATTAATCTTTTTGTTTTTTGCATCATCTTGCCATTTCAATTATCATATTATTCTTAATTAAAAATATTAATTATTTTTTTGACACTCAGCATTCAGATGTATATATTTGATTTAATGATATTTTTATTAATTTTACAAATTTATCCTTTCAAGCTTATGGAAGTGGGATGGTGGCAGGTTGCCAACAATAGTAAAGCTACTTGTTTCCTTCTTGTCTCTTGACCAGCAACCAGACTACTTCTGTTCTTGATTATTTCCATCCCAGTTGTCTATGATTAGTTAGGTCTTTCAGCCAGATTTTGATTTTAGATCAGATTAGATTGATATCATATAATTAATATGATGGAGTTAGAGTTTATTGAATTTATTTTAAGATTAGTACAACAATAACGTAACATCAAGTCTTTATTCAACTATACGGGGTTGATTACATGAATTCTTTTTCTCTATTATGACAGGTTAAAAGTTAAATTTTTATTTAAATCTAATTTAAAAAATATCATTTTTAATATTTTATAATCAAGTCTTTTTTAGGTCTATTTCTACCCCTTAACATAGGCCAAATCTCATACTTATACAATTCTAATTGGGTTATCAAGAAACTAACATTTTATCTGACTAAACCATCTAAGACGACTCTCTCTAATCTTATCTGCCATTGAAGCTACTCCAACCTTTACACATATATGCTTATTTCACATTCTATCTCTAAGAGTAAAGCCACTCATCCTTCCAAGCATCCTCATCTATGCAACCGTTTACTTAATTTTATAATTATCTTTTAACAGCCAACATTTTGCACCATAAAGCATTGCAGGTTTCATCATCATCTTTTAGAATTCTTTTAAATTTGAGGGGTATTTTTCTATCACACAACATGCCCAATGCATTCTTCCACTTCAACCATCCAACTTGAATGCTACTAATAATATCCCCATCTATTCACCATCAAATAGTTCTCGATTCATTTGGCTTGATCCGAATAATACATTGATTTAATCTTTGAGCAAGATTTGATCTTCAAACTAAAATGTTAACCCTAACTATTGCTTCTACACTGAATTGAACAAGAAGATAATAAAGAAATATTATGATGAAACATCTTATCTAAGAGTAAAAATGAAAGGAAAAGCTTTAAAAAAGTCACATAAGAAATAGGGATTTATTTTAATTTTTTAATTAATCTTCATACATCTAGGACAGCATGAATTTACTAAATTGTTTAAGTTATAGCCATATAACATAATACTTTTTAAATGTAGAAGAGTGAAACTATAATCAAATAATTTAAAATACAATATTTATTTTTTGAATATTCTTATAAAATTTATCATGAAATATTTATGAATATATTTTAAGTTAAATGTAATATGAGTTCTGATATGTCATCAAAAAATTATCTTGATCGGGGATGAATCTCGATGCAAAATCAAGTTGGAAACTTCCGAAATTAAAATTGGAACCATCTGAACTCCGATTTCAGCAAACTTATAGTTGAATAGAGCGTCTCGAGAATACGAACCCAACGACACCAAATCCAACCCAATCCGAGCCAAAACGGGTCCAAATCAAGGGTTAGAAGCACTGTTGGAAGATTCAAACCACAATTTGGATTACCAAACAGTTTCCAAACATAACGTGCTTATAGTCGAATCGAGCGGCTCGACGAGAAGAATCCAACGAGCCCAAGATCACCGAATTCCAACATCACTAAAACATTCAAATGTCCATCAAACGGTCCTTGATCAAGGGATTCAACATCTGTCGTCCATCAACCACTTCCTATTTACCTTTGATCTCTCACATATTTATGGGCCATGCAACTCCAGAAATATATAAATAGACCCATCATTTCTCTTGATAAGGGACCCAAGCAAAAAGGAAGAAGAGAAGAAGAGAATAGAAGGAAGAAGAGAAGGAAGAGAAGGAAGAAGCTCTTCCTCGACCACCGCCTTAGTTCTGCCGGACCACCGTCTGACGTTGTTGCTCTGTCGGACCACCACATGAAGCCCTCACCTTTGCCGGACCACTGCTTGAGGCCCTCACCCTCGCCAGACCACTACCTGAGGCCCTCACCTTCGTCGGACCACCACTTGAGGCCCTCACATTCATCAGACCAACACTTGAGGCCCCAAACTTCGCCAGACCATCAACTGACGTCAGAATTTTGCCAAGTCACTGTCGGACTACTAATTGACGCCCTAACTTCCAAGTGACGTCAGATTTAACACTAGACTTCAACAATACGGTTGACATTTGTAATCTGATCGCCATCTGGGACAAGTCAGTCCACTGTGCTCAACTCAAATTCTAGTTAAATCTTTTCAACTAGGCTAGACCCCGTGGTTTTTCCCCTTTTTAGGATTTTCCACATAAAAAATATTGTGTTCTCTATATGTGAGTTGGATATCTGTGCAACGCTTAGATGTAAAATTACAACTCTATCACCGCGTATATTCCAGCCCGCAACAAGTTCAAAGAGTTTTTTCAGCTATAACTATTATAAAAAAACCAAATATGCAATAAAATTAAAGATTAATAGATGAATAATACTTTAATCATTTATATTAAAAAGAAATACTTGATTGCATTAATAATAAAATAATTATTAACTCTTTTAGAATATGAAGAATAAGCATTATAAATTGCAAGTATTTTCTCATTTTAAACTAGCAAATTAAAAAATATATATTTCAAATCATCTTATTATTGCTCATTTGTCGATAGAATTTTTAAATAAATAAAGATCCACCGCCATGCACATTGTTCATTGATTGGGGCTTCACCTTCATCAAAGAGTTTGCATGCGTAAGTGGAGGTATTGAGATAAGTGTGGGAGTTTAACTTTATAGGGCTCAGAATAAGAATAAGATTTTATTTGAGACATCTTTCTTATTACTTTGTTTTTCATGTTGCAATTATAATTTCTATTTGATCAATGCATTTTTATTGTTTTTTTTTTTAAATTGTGCTGGGAAGCTACAATCTACAACAATTTAAAAAAAATATTTTCTCAACAACAGCTTTACAATGAAATCAGAAAGCTTGCCCAAAATGAAGCCTAAGACTTCATTCAGGACAACTTTCTGACTGCTTTGCTTTTCAAACTGTGACCACTATTTTTATTTGACCATTATTTTTTAACCACTTTCAGTAATTTTTTATTTTAAGAAGCTATTTTCTCCACAACGACTTTACAGCCTCCTTTATAAAAAGCTATAGCCATCCCAAACAGATCCTAAATCCAAATTCTTGATTACTAATACTCTTAGACTTTAAGCAGTAATTTGAAATGCAAGTGATTGGCATTGAGGCATCATCATCATTAGATACTTGCTACAACATTTATATACAGTGAGTCTCATAAGATGTTAAATCTTTTATGCAAAAATCCTTCAGCACAACTTCAGTCCATATTACATTTTGTCTAACTATTTTTCTCCATATAACATTTAAAAAAAAAAAAAAAAATTAAAAGCATCGAAAAAATAATGGTCAAAAGCTATCTCAAACGAAGCCCAATTTTGTCTAACTATTTTTCTCCATATAACATTTAGATTTCTGCAAACTATATTTGATTATAGAAAATTATATAAGATGAGCTCACTCTTTGATCTCCTATTTATGAATTTGAGTTCAGAATTGATTTCATGCATGGCTACACAGAAACTAAAATAAAATGTAATAATGTTGTTAGCATGATCAAGATATCCAACTTGATGGAGTACTTCACCAAGTTCTTAAGATGTCACTGACTTGCTTTGCATGAATTGAGAGTCAAATAGTCGAGTAGTCGCTCAATAGTTT